AAAATCGACTTGTGGGGTGCAATTGGAGGGGGTGGGGGGGTTTGTTCGGGGCGGGGCGGGGTGCGGGGGTTTGTCGGGGGGTAGGAATCGTCAATTTTACGAACGGGGCACCGGAGTGTCCCCAGGTCATCCCATGACATTGGGAACCAATGTCATGGGAACCAAAGTGTTTTTTGAAAGGATTTGAAGTTTAGGTACCACTTCGAAATTCCAGTGAAAATTGAGGTACCAATACTAAAATTTACCCTTAATTTAGGATAAGAAATCTTCCTCCACGGTAAAAAAAGGATGAAAACATGTTACTATTAAATCTTTTAAAACAAAAATATGAATATAATCATAGGCAAAGTAATGACATTAACTCATCATGTAATCATATGACATGAACTCTATTTAGGGTTTTTACGATACTCCGTTTAAAAAATTGATGGTTTCAAGTCTTTAATTCTCCCTGTAAATCCCCCCATTAAACCCGATCCAAATTCACCCACCTCCCCCATCAATTGCACCCCACAAGATGTAGTTGACTTTGAAGTCAAAAATTGACTCCAAAGTCAACTACATCTTGTGAGGTGTAATTGATGGGGGAGGGTGGGTGGGTTGGGGTCGGGCTGAGTTAGTGGGTTTATCGGGGAGGTTAGGGGGTTAGAACCATCAATTTTACGAACGGAGTACCGTAGGGCCTCAGGTCATCCCATGACATTGATTTTCAATGTCATGGAAACCGTGGTGTATAATGATAGTGTGACGTAAGAGAATTTAGAGTGTGATAGAAAAGTTATGATAGTGTGATGTAAGAGGATTTACAGTGTGATAGAAAAGTTATGACATTATAGTAAAGCTGTGATCGATTAATCATCGGCGGACAACAAGTCAACGTCGGTGATCGAAGGTGGAACTCTGGTGGCAGACAGCGACAGATAGCAGTGAGATAATATGGTGAGTGTGGTACTGTGAATCTTTTTTTGATCTTAACTCCTATTATGGTGTTTTAGACTTTATTTTACTTTTATCTAGGAAGTTCTTCCAAAAATATTGTTCTCCTAAACAGTTACTTAACTCCTAATTTGGTGTTTCATGCATTAGTGAATGTGTGGGAGATTACAGTTAGATTAATTAAGGATTAATTTTGTCCTTTCATATCTTAAACATAAATGCAATAGAATTGATCATATTTACAAAAAAATGTCATATTTTAATCTTATTCCAAGAATTTTCTCTAATAAATTAAAAGTAAGGAATTGAAGGCCAACGGATAAATTGAAGGGATGGGAGGTGGTATTTACCATGAGGTGTATGAACAAAGCAAGAGCTAGTGCGTGTAATGGATAGCATCTAACCGTTACCAACAATAATAGTATCAGTACCAGTGTATGGATGAGGAGAGTGGAGCTATGAATAATAATCTGTAACATGAGTGTTGGAACTAATGTCTAGAAACTAATCTTTGGATTGATTTCTTGTGGATGCATGTATAGAACGGGGGTACTGATAGAAGAGTTCTGAGTAAAAGAATCATTAAAAAGGTACCACCAAGCTCCGACAGAATGTTTTTGTTTATCACAATTGTGACATATAGGAAGATCACGAGCATGCGATAGCCGACCACTAGTTCGATTGTCCCGCGAGCTGTTATAGATGTGACCAAACGATGGTCGACATCGGTGTGCTCCTCAATCGCGACCTCGACCGCATATAGAGACCAAAGCAGTATGCGTCCCTCTAAAAGAAGAATCAGCTTTTGCTACATCTCAAGATTAATTTCCTTCAAAGTGAGCCGTCCGAAAAGCTGATTGAGAGTAATGTCTCCGTTTTGCAGATGATTTGTTTTGTTCGAAAGAAGAATCTTTGGCAGGAAAACCACAATTAACGACATTGACAACATCATCACGTTTAAGGACGTTTTCACGCAAGGCATCAATGTCAGCGAGGATCGTGACAATTCCATCTAGCTATTGAGTCCTAGATTTGGTACCTTTCTAGAGAGTATGTAGCTTGTTGATAGATATAGGCGTTAGAGATAAGGTTGTACCTTGTTGCTAACACATCTCACAAGGCAGCGCAAAGGTGGTGAAGCCCCGAGCATGTTTATGAACAGCAAGGCTAATTATGGCGAGCAGACATGCCCGGATCTTATTATCAATTACAATTCATGAGGCCTAATCAAGATTAGTAGTGCAGAATTTTTGGAAAATAACTCCCCTTCCTTTTTATTTTGCACAACACAAGTATATATACAATTTACACATGCCATAAGCCAATAGAAACTATGGGCCAAAACAACCTAATACAAAAAAATAATAAATACTCCAATATTCTCCCTCAAGTTGGCGCATGAATATCAAGAATGTCCAACTTGGAGAGTTAGAAATGAAAAAGAGGACCAGACACCGCCTTGGTATAAATATCAGCAACTTGCAACTTTGTGGGGACGTATGTTGTGGCCACATGCCGACGTTGAACACATTCCCGAATAATATGACAGTCAATATCGATATGCTTAGATCTCTCTTAAAAAAAAGGATTAGCAGCAATGAAAAAAGCGGACTTATTATCACAATATAACCTTGGAGTAGCAACACAGGGAATCTTTAAAGTAGCTAGAAGACCTCGAATCCATCGGATCTCATTACATGTTCTGGCCATGGCTCGATATTCCGCCTTTGCAGGTGAACGAGAAACAGTAGTTTGCTTTTTAGATCGCCAAAAGGCTAGCGACCCTCCCAAGAGTATAAAATATCATGTGACACACTGACGGGTAAGGGGACAACTTGCCCAATCTAAATCAGAGTAAGCAGTAAGGATCAAATCACTATCACCGTGAAACAGAATGCCTTAACCTGGATGACCTTTTAAATACCTGACTACACGCATGGCCACATGAAGATGACCAAGCCGTGAGGCATGCATGAATTGGGACAAAACATGAACTGAAAAACAGATATCAGGACATGTAGTAGTCATGTATAATAATTGTCATGCGAGCCACCGGTATTTAGAAGGATCACGGAGCTTTGGACTACTGGAAGTAACCAGAGAATGCCCAGGCTGAATAGGGTTGTCAACTGGCTTACACCGAGATACACCAGCTTCATAAATAATCAGTGCATAGTTCTATTGATTTAGAACCATACCTTCGGGAGATCTAGCACACTCAGTCCCAAGGAATTAAGAGACAAGACCAAGATCCTTCAGATGAAATCAATCATTCAGATATTTCTTGAAGGAAGAGCTGTAACACCCTAATCCGTCCCGGTGTGCAGCCCCATTCGGACTAAAGTATTTAACTTGGTAATCGTAAAAATTTAAAACTTTTCAAACACACTTGATTAATCCCAATAATATTTTTCATAACATATACAGTACGGAGTATTCAACAATATTGCGGAAGAGATTTTGATATTGACATATCATAAATTGTTTCCAAAACTTGTCACATACATCCCGACAATCTCGCCCCATCTGCCGCCAGGATCACATTGTGCTTTCTGCTTACCTGCGTGTAGCAAATAAAACACACTACACGCTCAGCGGTAAAGCTGAGTAAGCATATCTAATGCGTCGAACATCCATATAAACTGAATCAAAATTCATAATCAAATCATTTGATATCATGCACACAATGTTCATTTCAGACATTCACAGTTTTGGTATTATTCAGTTCATATCAACACATTTTATTCAATTCAGATATTAATCCAATAGTGCTCTTAAATTATTCTTAATCTAAGGCCAGATCATAACAACGCTCTTAGCTATTCTTAGTCTAAGGCCGGATCATAATAATGCTCTTAGCTATTCTTAGTCTAAGGCCAAATCATAATTTCCATAACCAGATTCTTAAAAGGCAATTATTAATCAGACACTTAAACTATCATTAGTTTAAGGCAATTGATTTTGGACACTTAACTGTAGTCAGTTAAGGCAATCAGATACTTAAACTATCACTAGTTTAAGGCAAATGATTTCGGACACTTAACTGTAGTCAGTTAAGGCAACAACAATATAGCGATTGGTCAACAATGGATCGGGCATTCCCAACGAGTAATCCTCTAGTTTGGTCTACGAATCCCGTTTATGAATTTATATCTAATTCATCAACTATTCATGTTTTCATAAGTTCATTCTAAGATCTATTCTATAGGTTTTCTAGATAGTCTTAACATTAATTAGCTAATAGGTATATCTTAAAGTTCTTCTAGATATCCTTAACAACATTATTCATCAATTCATACTCTTAGTTCAACAATCATTTCATCCAAAATATTCATCATCATTAATCCATAATATTCATAAAAATGAACAATCAATCAATCATCATAATAACTAATATCAATCAGTGGCCTAGCATCGAGTGTTAACACCCTAGCTTACCGTCATGCATCACATAAGATCCCTTTTAGTTGTTAAAATACCATCTTTATTCCAAGAAATCATCCTTTTATTAATCATAATGGTTTGGTATCAAAATATAGGATTCCATAACTCAAAAATCATATTTTCAAAATAACAATTGATTAGTATATGATAGGAAATTCAACTATTAGCTATTAGCTTTATTTTCTTCAATAGTGTAGGGTGACAGTCTACTGTCACTTCTGATAATCTACTGTCTGATGTTCAGAATGGGCTGATAATCGATTATCACACTCTGATAATCGATTATCAAACTTCAGAGAGGGCTGACAGTCGATTATCACAGTCTGATAATCGACTGTTGCTCAGCTTTGTTACAAAAATCTGCAGAACGATGAATAATCGATTTTCAAGTTGATAATCGATTATCCATCGTCTTCTACCTCGAGCCAACTTGCGGAAATGTCACTTTTACTCACCAAACTTCAATTAAAGTATATAAAAGTGTTCTCCAAGGTTGTATCTAGTAAAACCGTAGTAATTAACATAGTTTTAACATCAAAATCATGGTTTACGATTCTTAGTTCTTCAAACATGTCAAACACAAAACTCAACCAAATGAACGTTTATGAACGTAAAATCGATCTATATGAACATTCTAGTCACTAGATATATCTACGGGCTTACTTCGAAGCTTAACGGAGGTTTTGGAAATTTTCCGGCAAAACTTCCGGCGACAATTAGTCCCAACTCCGGCGACCTCTCACCGAATTGACGGCACCACTGCGTTCTCCTTACTTAGAGCAACAGAATAGGAAGAAGTTTTGTGAGAAATGGTGAAGAATTGAGTGAGTTGAGTTTTCTTATATAGAGTGGTGAGGAAGAAGAAGACGCAAGATGATGATAATTGATCGGCTAGTGCGTTCGGAGGCGCCGACTGAACAGTTCTCTGATTGGGACCAATTTTGGTTCCAGTCGGGGTACACTTTTTGGTCCAACTTTCTCTGAATTGAAATCCGTTTGCACCGTTGCGATCAGACAGTCGAATTCTATTCAACGATATACTTTTCATAATTATTTGTAATACTTTTTCCGACATCATATTTTTGGGTGGTTGACTTTGATAGAGTAAAAATTGATTCAGTTGACCTTTATTTAAAAAAAGTTCTCATATTTAATTCATATTAATTATTCTCATCATTTATTTCAATAAATCATTTTAATGTTTACATCATAATTAATTTCTTCATTTATTCTTGATTTGGGTCTGTACTCAGGTTCCCAATCAAGACCACACAAATAGTCAATAAATTGGATTTATCTCTATAAGATTTATCCTGATTATGATATGGGATATCGAAACATATTTTTATCGGCCCAAAGCCCATAACAATTTATTTTAACTAAAACAAATTTGATTTATTTTAATAATTATCTATTAATAATTCTAAGGTATGTTTTGGGGCGTTACAAGAGCAAAAAAAAGGGGTATTCCCTTCCACGAGAATATCATAAACATAAACCAATATGACCAAAATATCAGGACCATGGCACCAAACAAACGGGGTATGATAAATATTTGTTTGAATAAAAAACTAAAGGATAAAGCTACTTGCACACCACTTTCTGCTTGGTGTCCACGTTACTAAGTTATATTCTAATAACACGCATTGACACAAAATACAAGTGTGATCGCAAAAGTTTGCACTTTCATTAATTAATTACTTCTTCCGTCCCAGAGTACTCGTCCAAGTTGACCTTTTCGAGTCAAACTAAATAAATTTTAATTTTTCAAGTATCTCAATTCGTCTTGTATATTAATACAATGAAATAAATTCTTGAAAATTTTTAACAAGTTAAATCTAATAAAATCATTAATATACTAATATACATTATAGTTTTTATTTAATTGAGTCTCAGAGTTCATTTAGTTTGACTCGAAAAAATCAAACTGGACAAATACTCTGAGAGGGTAATAATATATTTTATTCCAGTGTCCAAGAATCAGATCTCCTGCTGTTCTGCAAGCTAAAAGATGGCGAATTAAAATGACACGCACAACATTTTGGGTATGTGCGTAGGTTAATTAACCAAACCATGCACTATATATATTGCTTATATATGCATAATGATGATGTTATTAATTACGGAGTAATTGATTAAAGATGGATTGTATATTATCTATAAATACATGCATGTATATATAAGCCCTTTAACTTTATGCACGCCCAGCACACCACTTTTGAATCTTTTGAACACAATCAATGGACTATATGATCATGACAAAAGCTAATTATGCCCGGGAGGGGTATTATTGAAATCCTTAATTACGTCAATCTTTCAATTTTCATGACTGTAATTAATTCTTGCCCTGCCCTGTAAGATATATATGGTCCCAAAAACATAACATTCTTTTTTCATGTTATTGTGTGTACTAAACATTGGTGTCCATGTTTTGAAATTGTTGACAATTGTGGCAATTGTGATTTTTTATATTCACTCCTCTCAAAATATTGTCCTAAATTAGAGATGACTGTTCACTTTTGTAATCAAACTTTGTCAAATTAAATTTGATTCAAGAAGAACTCTCTGGATAAGAGTGAAAAAATATGATAATACCAAGATAGGAGTCCTAACAAGATTTTTAAGACCAAAATAAAAGTTCATACTGTCATTTTCACTGCCACACTCATCACAATGTCTTACCGCAATTGTCACACTATCATCCGTTGCTGCCGCCCACAAGAGTGCCACCTCTGATCCCTGACATTGTTCGGTGGCCGCTAGCGCACGGTTGATGGATGACACTGGCTTATTAAAACCCCTAGTTTCATACGGAGTATTTCGTAATTTTTACTCTTATCAATGTGGGCGTGATACTATCAGAACTTATTACGGACCGCTCTTATTCAAATGGTTCAGTATCGGTACGAGATGAATTACAAAATTATTAGGTACCATTCTGTTTTGTAATGAAACGTTACAATATCATACCTGTGCTCAAACCGTGTAAAAAAATGAACGTACGTTACTCAAAAAATATTAAAAATTTTATGTATAAATTTGTATAAAAAAGCACAACTTTGTTAAATAGAAGTATTGATTTCAAATTTCAACGGATGATAAACATAAAGAATAAAATGCATCGAGTCCAAATTTAAAAAAATTTTCAATACATATAATATCGGACTATTAATAACTGTTAAAAATTAAATAATGCCAATAGTAGTAATAAATATAATAGCAACAATAATAATGAAAGAATTTAAAAATGAATAATAAACTTCGAAGTACTCTATATACGGTAAGATTAAGGATACAAACACTCCATAATTATTTGAGATAAGTACTCCGTATATAGCTTTGGACGGTTCAGTCTGTGATAATCGGTTTTAAATATTTGTATCACAGTCCCGTCTCATTTGATATCAGCTCATCGGTTTCAGTTCGTGATGAAAAAAATCAATCCCGTTTGAAAACACTATAAACAGTTCGATACCATTATGGTCCGGTATGGTATCATGCTAGTTCGGTTTTTCGCCTACCCCAATTATATCAAGTGAAATTATAATTAGTCGAGCTAAGCCTCATAAAGCGGAATGATGAGCAATTCAATTACGAACAGAGTGAGTGATATTTAAGTAAATTAAATTAAAAATAATTTTAGTCAAACATGTTAATTGGGAATATCATTTATGGAAGGAAGGAATAGTTACAAGACAATAGAATTCCCATTTTACCCTCACTCTTCATGGACAACATAGCAACAAAGTTTGTTCAACAAAGCTAAAGACCCAGTGTGAAAAATATGATAAAACATAAAGTTAAAGGATAAAGAGACCTGCGGCAGGCTAGGAATGGACATAAAGGTAGAGAATTAAATTGAAATATATTTCTCAAATATCATATTTATAGGTATAATATATAGGGATATGCTAGAGGTACACCAAAAAGTGTACCCCAAATGTACACCACCCTCTTACTAACCATTCATTTTGTTTTGTTTTTATTTTTAAATTTTTTTGAAAATTTCTTGCCTTTTTTGTGTCGTGATGGAGGGGGTGGGGATATTTGGGGTACTTTTTTGGTGTACCCTAGCATTTTCCTAATATATATCTATGTAAAAATAAAGTGTTCCATTAGACACTGTAAAAAAGTGAAATACTCAGATAGAAAAAAATTACTAAGTTTCCATACTTTCAAATCATCATCAGACTCTGAGCAAGTAAATACTGAGTTCAGGAGCAGCATTGTTATCTGGATTCACCATATAAAACGCCTCAGAATCTCTAGACCCAACAACTCTCTCAAACTTGGCTCTCATGTACATCACCTCGCCGCCGCCGCCGCTGCCGCCACCGTCGTCTCCATTCCCGCTCGGCGGCAACACCCCGGCGCCCATCGAGATGGGCCCCACCGCCTTCAGGACCTCCCACTCCTTCTCCTCGGCGTCCCTCCGCGCCGCGAACCCGCACTTCCTCCCGTTGCAGTATGTCCGCCACGGCCCCGGCCGGTCCAGGAGGGGACCCGCGGGTCCCGCCTCGTCCTTGTCGCACTCCAGTGCGACCCGGACGAGGCCGGACGCCATTTCCCGGACCAGACCAGACGTCGGGGTGGCCAGCTCCACCAGGAAGACTGGCGGGGACGCGGGGTCCTTCTGGAAGGACAGGTGGACGTGGCCGTGCCGGGACCCGAACAGGGTCCCGACCACCACCCGCGTCCCCAGACGGCAACCATCCTGGCGAGGATGGGAGAACATGTTAATTCTCCTGTTCCTCGCCAGGATGGCCAGGACAGATCTCATAAGCCTGGAGACTCCAACTGGGGATTGTAACCTCTTTCTCCTGCTCCTTTTTGGGTCATGATCTTCTTCTGCATTTGAAACTATGGGTTTCACCACTTTCACTTCTTCTTCTTCTTGGTGTTCTTGTTCATCTTCATCTTCTTCATTGTTGATAACTTTGGATGATGAAGATGAAGACAAGTAGTGCTTCTTGAAGCAGAGGTCTGGGACAGTATTATTAGCCATGCCTGACTTTATTTGAGTGTTGTTAGGAATTAAAGAAAAAGAAGAGAAGAAGGCTCTCCTTTAAATGTTGTGGGTATATGATGAGAGAGAGAGTGTATGTGTGGGGATTTGTATGTGTGTAGCTTAGGTTGCTTTGTCTTTAATGGGGTCATTTTGTTTTGTCCTCTCTTGTCTCTTCTGTCCTTTAGACTTCAGTACTTTGTGTGTGTCCCAAATCCCAATTTTTTCAATTATTAGAATGGTTATTTTTAGAGAGTAATTAATTTGAAATCAAATAAAGTTTGATACTAGGTATTTTGATTTATGTGTAATTTTGATATTATTTTTTAATTTTATTTCTTATTTAATATATCTTCAGTCCCAAATTTCATTATAAATTAAAATTTACGAGGTAAAACCCTGTATGTTTTGAAATTATTTTATTTGCAAATTTTTCCATAAATAAAATTAAAAATTACATATTAAAAACTACATTCAAATTTCTATGAAATAAGAGGTGAAAAAAATATTTTATTTTATCAAACAATCAATGAAAAGATACAAACATACATAAGTTATCGAGAAAAGAGAAAAAAAAGTATAACCAAAATTGAGACGGAGAGAGTATTAAGCTAAGATATATGATATGTAGAATAAACAAGATATAATTAGAAAATAACACATATGAAAATTATACATTTTAGGGCACATATTTTTTGGACTTTGAAAAGTTTATGTGATGGGAGAAGTATGATTGAAAATAAAGAGAAATAAAACTAAGTACAAGTCATTCAATATTTAAACAACACAATATTTTTTGGCATAACCAATTCCCTCCAGATTTTTTTAACTTCTTCTGGGTTTTTAACCCTTTCCATGGAGAGACTTTTCCAATTACTTTTACTCTTAACTTGTTTCTTTCAAAATTAATTTTATTTTATTTTAAGTCAAATGAACATACAGAGCCTTAATTTCATTAAATCAGCCTTTATATATAATAAAAAAAATACACAGATAATCCATGATATTAATTATTTGTGGTATGGGGAAATTCAAAGCGTGGTTGAATTAACTAAGAAATAGCTCAACTATGGTGATTAATTAAGTATAAAGAATTTCTAGGAAGGGAAGAGAAGAGGGTGGGGCCCCACAAAGTATATCTGATGGGAATTGGCGGTGAGAAAAACAAACAGGAAGGGGTGATGAAAAGATCCTTATTTTGAAAACAGAGTCAAGCTCCATATATATATGCATCGCCATTACTATATACTCCCTCCATCCATAATTAAAGTTCTCACTTTCTTTTTTTGTATGTCCGCAATTAAAGTTTCCATTTCCTTTTTTTGGCAAATAATTTTAGATAAAATGTCATATTTACCCTTTCCATAAAGCCCAACTTCTTCACCTCCTTCATCAATCGTAGATCTATTTTTCCCTACATCTGCACCGCTGCCTCCTCCAGACTCCATCGCTGCTGCCTCGAGCCTGGTTGGTCTTCATTATCGACTGCGCAGTCCCCACCATCATTGCCGTCTCGAGCCTTCATTCTCGTCACTGCCTCCAGTCTCGTTGGTCTACACTATCGCCGCCTCCTCTGATCTATCCTCCCGCATCGCCGCCGCTAGCTTCCAGTCTCGTCTTCTACCGGATTCAAGAAAGGGGAGTTGGAGTCGTCCCAGTTTTGCTTAGATTTTCTCTTCCTCTGTATTTCTTTTCAGATCTGATTTTTCTTCCTTGATGGATTTAATTTGATTTCTTCTTTCTCTTTCTTCTCTTTGTTTTCTTTCATATTCGACTTCTCATTCTCCTCCAATTCAATTTCTTCTTCTTTGGAATTGGATTTTGCCAAAACCTAAACTATAGCTTCAAATCAAAATTTGTGGTGGAATGGTGGTCCAGGCAGCCACAGTTCTTCCCCAACAAGAGCAATGAGGTGGGGGTAAAATTGGAAAGTCAATGACATTTACATCTTTCCTTAATATGCGTGCCCGGTCAAACCGGGAACATTAATTATGGATGGAGGGAGTATTTATTTTATTCTCTTGTGTCAATTGGTATTTGCACTCCAATAAAACACTACTACAAAAACGACTAAATAGACTGTCTTATTTGCATCAGTTACCTAAGAGCATCTCCAATGTATAGTGTAAAAATTGGTAGTGTAAATTACATTTTACACTATCAACATTATTTTACACTTCCACTTTTTAATACCTACTCCAACCATGTTTTGTATAATATACTCCATACTTTACATTTATTCATGTCCCTATCTACAACCAACTTGTATATATACACTTTGCCAATTGTATTTTACCCTATATTGTATTTTAGCATTTGTTTTACCCTCTCCCTTGGAGTGTCAAAAAGTTAAACACAAAGTGCAAATTGTGTAAATTTTAGCATATAGCCTCTACACTGGAGATGCTCTAAAAAACAATACAAATGTATCATTCGTTTCGCCAACTGCTTCTCTTTTACATTGGTTATTACTAATATACTAATAACCAATGCAAATATCTTTTCGTCTTTTGCATTGGTTTTTACTAATAACCAATGTAAAATGTATTTGCATCGATTATAACTGTTAAATATATCAATTATTTAATATATTTAATATTATATATTATAATTATGGTTGTTACCTATTATAGTTAGAGTTATTATTATATAATATTACCTTATATAATTAATCATTAATGTGGAGGATTCTAGAATATATTTCTCCACCTATAAATATATATTCTGTATTCCTTTCCTATTCATTCAATCAATATTCAATCAATAAACGTTCTTTATTATTTTACATGGTATCAGAGACTTCGCTCTTGGTGACCTAATACATTCCGTTTTCTCTGCCGCCGTCGCTGGTGATTTATCCGGCGACGGTGGCCTCACGCCCACTTGTTCATCTAATAATGATCTGCCATACTCCCCCATTCGGCTCCGAATCCATCACCATCGCTTCCTGATTTTATATCCTATCATCATCTCAACTTGCTTAGTCGGTTAATCTTCGGTTAACTGTCAACATGCATCTTCGGCAGTACCTCATTCCTTGTGTTTCTTCTACCTCTAAACCAGTCGCGCACGACTCCAGCGCACGTCAATCTTCTCCCTTCTTCGACGTCAGCGGCCTGAGTCTGTCTGCAGCGGCTCTTCTCTCATCCTCCTCGAAGCAGGCACATCTCTTTCCCGACAATCCTTCTTCTTCTCCTATGGTCCGGATGCATTCAGTCTGCTCTAGCCGAAGATATGTCTCTAATTTCTAATCACGACTCTGGTCATCATTCAATTTAAAGTTGACATTCAATCTTCACCGTTCAGGACGTTGGGAGCATGTTAAATATATCAATTATTTAATATATTTAATATTATATATTATAATTATGGTTGTTACCTAGTATAGTTAGAGTTATTATTATATAATATTACCTTATATAATTAATCATTAATGTGGAGGATTCTAGAATATATTCCTCCACCTATAAATATATACTTTGTATTCCTCTCTTATTCATTCAATCAATATTCAATCAATAAACGTTCTTTATTATTTTACAATAACTAATAACCGATGCAAAAGACCTTGTTAAATTTAACCACTCGGCCCTTATCCTTTATCCGTTCATCAATAATCTCTCCACCGTTGTTGTCCTCCCCTCCTCTCATTGTTGTGGACCTGCTTTTCTTTTGCATTGGTTATTCCTAATAATCAATGCAAATACCTTTTCATCTTTTGCATTGGTTTTTACTAATAACCAATATAAAAGCTAAGGTATTTGCATCGGCTGTCAGTAATAACCGATTCGATGGAAAAGATATTTGTCTTTATCCTTTATCCGTTCATCAATAGTCTCTCCACCGTTGCTGTCCTCTCCTCCTCTCATCGTCATGGACTTGTGTTTGAGGACTCGCCATTGCAGAGCTTTGCTGTCGTCGTCCATCACTCGCCACCGCCGCTGCCTTTTCATCGCCATCGCCGTGGACTAGCATTTGATGTGACTGTGTACTAATGTTAATTACCACTAAAAAACAAACAATTCAACGTTTGCTCGATCAATGAAAAACAATTTTTGAACAAACTTCATTTATGAAAATAATTGAACCTCGTGCACTAATGATATTATTTTGTATTAAAAATTATACCGGCCTATTTTTGTACATATTACGCAAAAAATGACTCGACCTGTTTCTGACCCAAAACCCGACCTGGGTTTTGAACAAAGGTTTTGATAACTGAACCCAAAGTTGATCGAACCCGAAATGACCCGGTAAAAATGGGTCAAACCCGACCGAACCCGAACCCGACCCGACTGACCCGCTAAAGTAAGAATTTTTCAAAATCATACACTTTACTACTTCTTTTTAGCGTATAAATTTATAATTTCAGATAAAATTTTAATGATATTACATAATTATCTTACTTTTTTCTAAAACTTAAGCATTTTTTAAATTCCTTATATTGTTTTATATATCAAAAAATTATTTCAGAATTTTAAATAAAATAATCTAATAGATTTAAAACATTTTTTTGATATTTTAAATTTATTAGATTGAAAATGTAAGTGTTAATGTGAATTTAAAATTTTAAAAAACCAAACTCATAACCCGTTGGGTCGACCCGAACTCGATGACACTGGATCATGAACATACAGTTCTCAACCCGAACCCGAATTTACCCGAACCCGAAATAGCCCGAACTCGAAGTGACCGAACCCAAACCCGACCTGACCTCAATAATTTCTAAATAAAAAATTTTAAGTTATTTTTGTGAGTTGTATCACATGCAATCATTTTTAGCATGCAAAGTATAGTACAAAATAAAAATGAATATAAAACCACACAAATATTTTGAAACGTAATTTATGACTAAAGTAGGGTGATATAAACCATTTAAAAAAGAAGAAAACAGAATAATTGAAGTGCTCTCTATAAAGAGTTAATTAAAAATACTCTCTACATCTCATAAAATAACTTTCACATTTGACAAAACACAGAGATTAAATAAGGAGGAAATTATGTGACCGCAAGTCGTGTAAAAAAAGAGAGAAATTATAAGGGTCACAAAACTAGTTATAAAAGTAAAACATGGAATTTTTTTTAAGACATACAAAAAGTTGGAGCTTATCTTATTTTTTAAATTTATTTTTTTAAAACTTGGTGGAAGGAGAAACAAATTTGGCAGGCCCCTGGTACTAAAAAAAAAATTGCTCCGTATTTTTGCTGGAAAAATAAAGAGGAATCTGAGGGAGACAATAGATAAGTAGTTTCACTTTCTTGTAGGGCCGGTTAAAGCCTGGATTGAAAGTTTATTGACTGAGTTGTCGACTGACTCAATATGTTTTTTGTTTTCCAACCAATAAATCTATTTGTATCACACTCCAAAAGTTTATACTTATAATTTGTATCAATATGAGTACAAAATTAATTGTTTATAGTTACATAAAATGTCAGTACAAAATTTTACTATTAAATGGCACTATGATATTCATATAGGTTTAAGTGTGAATAAAACTTTACTTATTTTGATCATTTTTCTATGTTTACTCTTATCTTAGTCTTTTTCACTCACTCAATATAGGCCTAAGTGTGAATAAAACTTGTGACATCAGAGAAAAATATTTTGAGTTTACTACTCCCTCTGACCTCTGTTCCATTTTAAATTGTCTGTTTGCCTTTTTTCTCCGTCCCAAAATAAGTTACCTGTTAGTTGTTTTCGTAAACTTTTAAAAATAAAATACCTAAACTACCCCTAAAATAAGTTACTCTTCTTCATCTTATCTTCTCATTCATCATCACCCCTTCTAAAAAGTAATGACAATTTTGAAAAATCAATTCTATTTTTTATTTTCTTTAAATATGCCCAAAAATCAAAACAGGCAATTTAAATTGAGACGGAGGGAGTAATAAATTCTCTAAAACCTGAAAAAAGTAAAAAATTTATATTGAAGCATTAAAAAACAGGATGTGTGAAACTCTTCATCATATGGAAAGAGTAGACTTAACGAAGTATCCAAAAACTGACACTATTCAGCCCTGTTCTTTTGAATTTAAAAAAATCAACTTCACATTATTTCAAATTCCTTTCAATTTCTTTCAATTTCTTCAATTCTTTTAAATTCCTTCCCATTTTTTCCGACTTAAAAACAATATTTATATATAATAACATTCTTTATCCAAATTTATAATATTTTACCTCAAACACGGACAATGATGAATTTTTTTTATTTAATATTAGAATTTTCTTACATATTTATTTTGATAATAATTTAATTAAGTGACTTTTTACCGCTTCTATTCTTCCCGTTTCTTCAAACTCTTTTCTTCTACGGAGTAACATCCAACTCTAAAATTATAACCCAAAAGAACAACCATAGAAGCATATTACCCCCTCTGTCCCAAACCAAACTAAATGTTCACTATGTGTGAATCATTTTGATGTTTTTACCACAAGGCAAAAACTAATCAAAGGCCATAATGTTCCAAGTCTCCAACAACACTAGCAAAGAACAACACCAAAATGTTACTGGCATTGAGATATACGGAGTATTTATAATATAACTATACCCTACCTCTTGAATTCCTAAAGGAACATAATTGAATGCTAAAACTTATAAATCAATCTAGCCATGGAAAAAAATTGTCCAGCTAAACAAGTCAAAAATAATGTACAATGTACATGAGAATTTACAGTACAAATGAGACCAAAAATAAATATAATAATAAAAAAAACATTCATGGTACATACAAGTAAATATAACCAGCTGAAAGCAATGGGGACTCAAGTTTCAGTGGTGTAATTGCTCCAACTTTTTTTACTCCTACTTTCAAGCAAACCATTCAATTTGATGACATCATAATTGCCCTAATCGATCCTGAAAAAACAAGAGAAAATTACGATATTAAAAGCATGTCGCCGTATAAGAATTGAATTCAAGCAAGCAAAGCATACCGGTAAACAAACTCGGTATATCAGAGATGTACACAGACCTTACCTCTATCTAAACGAATAGAGAGGCTGTTTCAAGCAAGTGTTTGAGCCACACTCTTACGACATGTTTTTTATCTCAGAATATGATTATTGTATTGAAACAATGTGACAATGTATATTTTCCTTAAAACCATATTTTTGGTAAGGTCAAAACTATCAAGGTATAACTTTTAAAGTTTTAATTTTTGGTAAGGTCAAAACTATCAAGGTATAATTTTTTAAGTTTTAATTTTTGGTAAGGTCAAAACTATTGGAAATCATAAACTATAGCTATATTTAAAAAAAATGTTGATTGAACTAAATTTAACATACTTAACTAGTTTGGAATATTTTTTTAACTCCCTCAATCATTCAATGGGAAGACAGATTGGATGACAATTACGCTTTGACTTAGCGAGAATGTGAATCACATTTAACTAAAGGAAATGAGGGATAATTTTGGGAGACGAAGATCAAAATAAAAAAATTTCAGAACTGAAGACCAAAAAAAAATCAGGACCCAAGACCGCACCTACTAAAAGTATTCAGTCTGATAGTCTATGACCGGACCTAAAAAATTCAGTCTAGACCGAACCGAAACTAAGACCGATTTCATATTAACAAGTTTGAGCAAAAATACTACTCCGCCCCAGTGCTTGTCCAGTTTCTTTTTGACACAAAGACCAATGTGAGGTGCATAATACAAATACCCCTTATGGGTGTCATTCCCCACCTGAACCATTGTTGCTGCACTACCCCCCCCC